TATATAGAAAGTAAATTCTAGGATACTTTAAATCTCTATAAAACTCCTTGTTTTAAGGGGGAAAATAGCTATGAAGAATAACAGGGGAGGGGAAAAAAGAGGAGCTTATACCAAGAGCTCAAGTAGAAAATATTTTGGAAATGATGATGGCAACATATGTACAAATATGCTTGATACAATTGATGTATGGAATGTTTTAAGAGCTGTAAGGGGAGGGGCATGGAGTGGAGACCCAATGCCCATCTGTAGACATGCCCACAGGGGACACAGGGAGATGAGCCAGTCAGGGTGCAGTATAGCACCAGTGAAACACACAACTTTCCACTCGTTCCTTGGTGCTTCCTTCCCCCCACTATCATGACCTCAATTCTACCTTACAAATTGGAGTACACCAGAATATGCAACACAGAGAATCCGGAATAGATAAACCCCTCAGGGCCAACATCGAGTAGAGATAGCAGGAGGATTAGGGGAGGGTGGGGGGAGACAGAGGGAATCAAATCACAAGGATCCTTCCAGAGGGATGAACAACCGAAAGGTAGGTGAGCGGCGACAGAGAACGATGTAATATATGAATATAATAACCTGTAACTTATCAAGGGTTCTTGAGGGAGGGCAGGTGGGGGAGGAAAGGGGAAGAAATGGGGAGCTGATATCGGGCTTAGGTGGGAGGGAAATGCTTTGAGAATGATGATGGCAGCGTATGTGCAAATGTGCTTGACACACTGGATGAATGTGTGGATTGTGATAAGATGTAGAACCTCCAATAAAAGTATTTAATAATTTTTTTAAAAAGGAAAAAAAAATACATTAATGGCTAGTCAGTGCAAAAATGCCTACATCACCATTTCACATGTGCTAAAACGTTATTGTGCTATAAAGGCAAAATAATTGTTAAATTCATAAACCAGTAGTTTGCTGGGAAATTGACTGCTTCTAGATGATCTTCCTTTTCCACAACACTCTTTGCAAAGAACTAGATAGCACAGACTTGTGTACAGTTCTCTAAATATGAATTAATGAGATTTTACTTACCTACTTTCCCTTTGAAGCAAGCAAGCAAGCATGCAAACAAATGAATTGGGTATTGCCCCATAAAATACATGAATGTTTGACTTGTATAGGAATAAGATGCTACTTACTTCCTAGTGTGTGTATTTTCAATACATAGCCTGGGTTATGGCCCGGTCTACTGAAAACCGTGCAGCTTTGCAAGGTTATTTTGGAAGAAACACATACCTGAATGAATTGAAATAGCTAATTTACGTCCCATAATTCAGAGATCTTTTCTGAAGAGATTAGTAGATGCCATTGAATGTACTCTAATTCAATTGTTAATTAGGCCCAAGGTCAAGCCAGTGATTTAGGCACATGGTGGGCAGCTGACCCTCCTATACTTAGGAAAGTGGTTGCTTTTGTTATCCCTGTGGACTGAGTTGGCAGTAAGTCATAAAAGTCCAGTAAATTTCAATATAATGCACTCATGTAATATTTCAACTCCTTTCTCCATAGTTGTTGCAATATATGATTACACAAAAGACAAGGATGATGAGCTGTCGTTTATGGAGGGTGCAATCATTTACGTCATAAAGAAGAATGACGACGGCTGGTATGAAGGAGTCTGCAATCGAGTGACTGGTCTCTTCCCTGGGAACTATGTTGAATCAATCATGCACTATACTGATTAAATTTTTGGCTTTTAAAGTAGATTCTCATTACTCAGTCATACTGTGGGGCTATTATGGTTAACAGAATTGTCTTAATGTTTTAAAATGTGCCCATATTTTCAGGACATGCTCTTTTATCTGTATAATTGAATGTCTACCCATAAGCATAAATCTTGGAGGCAGTTTGTATATTGCCTAAAAGCATTTTATACAAGAAGCTGTCCATAACCGATTGTGCTTATGCATTTACTTATGCATTGTTAACTTTTTGACCAGCCTAAATATTCTGGGGAAGTGGGTTATAATATATGAATCATGATTCAGATTGTACCATTACATCTTTCAGTGCAGCATGGTTACTAACACTGTTAAACTAATCTTGAAAGCAGAAAATTTAAATGCTGGTGCTGGTCAGACTTTTGTTAGATTCTCTCACTCTTGAACTATACTATTTGTTTAAAGCATGCATACAAATTTATGTATTGAAATATACTTTCAAAAATATCCAAGATGCTTCCAATTTGTTTGATGTTTACCTGGAGCACTCATACTTTGCAGTCTCTCACAAAAAACAAATAAAATAATTGAGTCTCCAAGGTCTTCACGTGAAACAAAACAAACACAAGGGTGATCTGTAACATTGTAATTTGTACGTAAGTTTTTTAATGAGTGAATTTGCATTATGAATTTTTTTCATTCATAAATACATAAGTGAACCAAAGGTTTTTGTCCTTTCCTTTGTTGGTTTGCTTTTAAAATAAATAAATAAATAAGTAAATAAATGAATAAAAGATGATTTATCGGAGAATTATGGTTCTATTTTCTTAGTGTATTGACTTTGAAAGAAATTCAGTCTTAATCTCCATCTGTTCAAACTGCAAGGTGATTGATGATTGCAGATTTAAAATCTGAAATGGTCATGTACAAGTCAATTTACTGAATTTAAATTTCTCAGAGTGAAGAAAATATGTCATAAAGTGCACATTTCATCCTGTAGGTAAAATTCTTTGGGACTACATGGTCACTCCGTCAGTTTTACAGCCAACTGTTATAGATTGGTTCCGTGAAAGGAAACGATGTGTCTTTTACATACTCCTTTTGTAAACGTGGATGCAATTTACTTTTGAGTAGGCACTGTTAGCTGGCAGAGCAACCTAAAAAGATTTCAAAGATAAAATAGTTGGGACACAGGGTGAGCCATTGATCAGGGAACAGGGACACAGCTAGCCAGCAGATGCTTTTGTCTTGGTTGGCATGATTTGAAGCCAACACATGCTCTTTGTGTGTTTCTAATGTATGGGAGGGCTCGAGGGATAGTTTCTCTTGTGCAGAAGTCTACATTGCTTGGGGTATTAAGAGTACTCAAGTGTGGGTTTCTGTGTATTGAAGACTTACTTGGGTTTCAAACTATAGTTATGTATACTGGGCAGCACAGACTTCTAACAGCACAGTGAACAGTAAGAGGAGGGGGAAACACTTAATTCTGAAAATTAAAGACCATTACTGCTACTAAAAATCAAGGTGACTGTTTCATATTTAAACATTAGTGATTACTTAATTACTTTTTTGGCTTTTTGTTTTGAGTGTAATGTTCTCTTAATGTGTATATAACCTGTTGTCAAAATTTTATGTATAGTCTTTTATAATAAACCATTCTCCTCTATGAATTATGTTGGATGCTGTCAGAATTAACTGATATGGCCTTAATGTAGACCTTCACTGCCACGCTCCCTTTACCTTCACAGTAAAGGTGAAATATGACAAACCATTTGGAATTTTTAACGTTGATTATTTATTTGTGTAATGGCTTTACATGTGGATATTAACAGTGTAAACAATACCACATATAACCATCAAGATACCTCGATTAGAATTTATAGGGCTAGAATGACAGGTTCAGATGGTTTAATTACTTAGTTATGGCTTTCTTCAATATAATTTATTTTAAATTAAACTTTGCAAATTAAAAAAAATTACCCACCAGTAAAGTTGAAATGATTTTTAAAAAATGATTTTTTGGTTATCTGCACATGAAGCAAACAAAGTATTTGACAAAATTCTTTAGGCACAGTCTGGTAAATAGCTGCCAGCAAGAACAACAAGAATTGTCATTTATCTCTTGTGAGTACAGTTTCTGAAAGTTGAATGAGGGCATCTCTTTCTGGGGATGGTCGAAGTTTACTGATCTCTCGTATTGCTTCTTGGCAGTACCGCTGGGCGAGGTAGGTTGTTTGCTGCACACCATCACTCTGTGGGGCACAGAATGAAACGCATACATGTTATTGACTGACTGGTGAGCTCTTCATTTCCTGTTGTAATCAATCAAAGCACACTGAAGGTTAGATGAGTGGAGTATAAGATGTAAAGACAATAATCTAACTATGAGTTGGAATTAACTTGATGGCAACGAGATGCTTCCAAGTTATAAGAAAATTATTTTTCATTTTTATCATGCTTTATAAAGTACAGGGTCAGGGAAAAAGAGAAGATCCCCAGGTAGACTGACAGAGGCTGTACCGATAATGGGCTGACGCACAGCAACAACTGAGGCTGATGCGCGCCAGCGGACAGGGCTTGTTCTGTTGTACAAAGGCTGCTCGGAGAACCCACTCGATATTTGAGTGTACTCTCTTCAACCCGGTGTTCTAGCCGCCTCTGAACATTTATTTTATGACCTTTCCCCAGCTAGTAGAGAAATTTTATTACGGTATAAAACTTATTAATATTTGAGTAGCCATCTATTTTTCCAAAAGTTCTACATACAAGAGCTTTATACCATTAAAAATTGAAAAACCTAAAGTGAAAATTTTTCCTTTATTAAATGAAATATATGAGGATAACTCCCCAAATATTGATATTAGAGTTCCAGGGGTATATTCCAAACAAAATGTCTTCCATGTGTTTAAACATGTCTCTGCGATCAGTGGATGCCTGCAGACAAATTCTCTGTGGGATCTATTAGGCCATTTAAAATCAAGACACAGGTTATTAGGCTAGAAGGTTATGGTTAACTGTGCTTTTGGATCCACAAGGTAAACCAGATAGACTTTCTTGGACAACCAAGGGGGACTACTTAGGAAGAAGTTTTAAGAAAATGGAAAAGACGGTTGGTGAGGGAAACTCCAAGGTACCAAGGAATTTTTAATCCCCACCCTGACAGTAATGCCTGCTTATTCTTTGAGGGAAGCCCTATGAAAGTGTTGTCGGGAAACCTTACCCTATCTGCCCGACACCCTTGATTTTGCCCCTCCAGACTTCATGTTGTTCCCCCAAAGTCAACATTTGAAAGGAGCACGATCAGCCCCTCAAAAGTTGCAGAACTGCTGTTTGTGGTCCAATCCAAGAGCACAGAAGTCCTTGGGGGATGGGTTAGGGTTCTAGATGGAGAACACCAGTAAACATTTAACTGCACATTTTGAAATTTTTGTTTAATAAAGATTTCTACGAGGATGGAGCAGTACTTTTTGGCTTACCCACTTATCCGTAACATAATGAAAAGGAGTTTGTGACAGAAATCAACCGTTGTCCTCCCCCCGCCTTTTTTTCTCTCCAAATTTTATTGGGGGCTTGTACAGTTCTTATCACCATGCACTGGGGGCTTGTACAGTTCTTATCACCAAGCATACATCCATTGTGTCAAGCACATCTTTACATTTGTTGCCATCATTTTCAAAACATTTTTTACTTGAGCCCTTGTTAATGGCTCCTTATTATTTTCCCTCCTCCCTCTTTGATCATTTACTAATTTTTTTTTTCATGTCTTGCACCTACTGCTATCTCCCTTCACCCACTTTTCTGTTGTCCGTCACCCTCGGAGGGGGTTATTGTGATGGGTTCCCCCTCTCTCCTCTGACCTTACCCTTCTGGTATCACTATTCATTATTGGTCCTGTGGGATTGATCTGGCCTGGATTCCCTATGTTGTGAGCTGTACCAGTTACATGCTCTGGTCCAGCTGGATTTGTAAGGTAGAATTGGGGTCATGATACTGTGTGTGTGTGTGGGGGGGGGCATTAAGGAACTAGAGGAAAGATGTATGTTTCAGTGGTGTTATGGTGCACCCTGACTGGCTCATCTCTTCTTTGTGATCCTTAGGCCTCCCCTCTTTCAAAGGCACCAATCTTGGTTTTGGTTCTTGACTTTACGCCTATATTTCCAGATTACCAGCTTTAGTTATCACTTACAGCCAAAGTATAGTATGCTGCCTGCTGATTTGGTCATTATATATCTTTAATTCTACTGATTACCTTTGTCATTTTGTAGCATTAACTCAAGATTTTAAAAGGGGATTGATTGTATGTCTTCCTACTAATACTTTGACATTACATTTAGGGATTGGTAACACGTGTTCTATATGTAACTTGTCAGTTGTTTCTAGAACCTAACCACTAATAAAGTATTACTTCCATGATATAAAAAGGTTATTAAAGAAAATGTACTCATTACTTCATAGCTGTACATTAATGGCTGCTCTGTCATTTAGAGTCAAATATCCCTAACATGATCAAAAGGTCTCATAGTCTCTACCAGTAAGTTGCCCACACTGTGACACACAACTGACTCTTCCTTTTCCATCGTGGGAAGGGCACTGTACAATCTGAAGATGTCTTGTGGACTAGTCACTCTGTTACTTGGACAGTCTGCTTTTTACATCTGCCCTCGGGTGTCTTTTCCTTGGGTTTGTGGCTCATGTCATTGGTGTCCAGTACCTACACCTTCCTTGGCAGCGTACGGGACATCCAGTTTTTATGACAATGGCTTTCTTTTGCCTTCAAACTTAATGGAGAGTTTGGCTAGGCATGGACATCTAGGTTTAAAATGTTTCCTCAACACTTGGAAGGTTTTATTTCACGTCCTTCTAACATTCAGTGTCTGTTAACGTGACAATTGAATCTGTTTATGCAGAAAACCTTTTCCTTTTTTTAACCTTAAAAAACCTTTCCCTTGTGAATCAGGTGCAGATTTACAGAGCGGAGCTCTCACGTTCTGGTCAGCTCATCCATTGCAGTCTTCTCTGCTCCTTCGCCTGCCCCACTCCTCACACTGCCTCCTGCTCTGACTTCCTTTTTGTTTAATCTCAAGTTTTGGTTTTCTTTGTTCTTAGAGCTTGCTCTTAGAGTTTTCTGTTAAAATCTACCTGTTTGTATTTCTTTTGATTTTTAAATTTCTGTTTACCTTAATCTTCTTTCATGTAGCAAGCATTCACCAACTGTCAAGCCAAGTTGTTCATATTTAATGAGCCCTGTGTGTGAACCAGGTGCTAGATTTTCCAGGCCTTTGAAGAATTTCTTGAGAGAAAAGCTGCATTTCCCACTCCCCCAAAGTACATTTCTGCGCAAGCTTATGAGAAAGAACTTCACTGTTTTGCCTTAAGGGTTACAGTTAATTCCCCTTTTCAATCCCATTTCACACTTCAGTTCTCAGTAATCTTTCCTATGCCAAACCTCTCTGTGACAGCTCAGCCAGACTAGTTTATCAGCTGCAGCCCACTCCCCTACTGAGTTTTTACAATCCTGTTAAATGATCCTCCAAAGAAGTAGCCTGTGTAGCACATTGTGATGCTTTGAACACTAAAAACCAAACTCACAGCCACCCAGTTGATTCCAACCCATATCGACCCTTCAGGGCAGATTAGAACTGCTCCTGTGAGTTTCTGAGACTGACTTCGTAGGAGTAGACAGTTTCATCTTTATCCCTACTGCCAGTTAAAATAGAAATATGTCCTTTAGAGGGAACTTGCTTTTTGGAAACCCAAAAGGTTTCTAAAAATTTTCCAACAACCCCAAAGTTAATTATTTGAAATTCTTTCACATCTTCTAATTGTCTATGGGTAAGTCAGAGTAGGGCTATGAGGGTTCTAGTGCACACATACAGGGGCTTATTCCAAACAAAACGTGCTTAAACATGTCGCATGGCTGCTGGATGCAGTCACGTTTCTCAGCAATAAACCGAGGCACTTGTCTAAGTCTCATTAGGGTACCATCAAGACACAAAGGTCCAATCAGAACAGTGGGCTGCAAGCATGTCTGTTGAGCCAGAGGTAGGAGGTCAGTTCAGAGGCTGTCAACTCTTCTTAGGACCTCAGAGGGCTAATCTTGCTAGATCTGCTTGAAGGCCACAGACGCCTGGCGGTTGTTAGGAAGAAGTTTAAACCACGCTGGGAGAAAAAGGCAAGGTGAGTGGCTCCAAGGAATTTGTTCCCCAATCACAATACACCTGGCTCCTTACTTTGAAGGTGGCAAGGGCCATCCAGAAGAAGTTTGTTGGGAAAATTCACACCAGCCACTCTCCAGCCCCAAGTCTTGTCCCTTGCGACTGCTTTTTGCTCCCCGAACTCAAAGAACACTTATCCCCCAAAGTTGCCAAATGGCCGAGCAGCAGAGAAATGGGAATTGCACCTTCGGATAAATACAGACCTAGATGGAGGGCATGTTGAAATTCCATGCAGTTCACTAAATGGATTGGCTGCAATGGACTTTGGATTTGAATTATGGAAAAAGCTCATTTTCCAATGTCAAAGACAGCACAACTAAAACTGCAAAAAAATGGGCTTGTGCAGAACGGTCCTGCTGAGGCTGTTTTTAAACACTAGCAATGCATTTGAATTGAAGAAAGCTTATAGCCACTGAATGTGAAACAGCTTCCCTTCAGATGAAAGAAAAACATTTCACATTTGCTTGTTATTTAAAACCTAGACGACCATTTATTTGTCATACCTTTTCAGCAGTCAGGTGACTGGGAAGGTGTTACCAAGCCCACCCAGAGGCACCCAGGAAGTTTAATCCTGGTGCTTGGCCTCTGAGAGGTTCCACCTTTGACAGCCCTGTGGACAGACACTTGGGCCACATGGCAGGCAGCCTGAGGGCAGCGGGTTGCTTTGGTTGAGGCTGCAGCAGCTCTCAAGGATGGGCTAGACGGACCGGTAGTCTGGTCATGCAATGAGCAGGGCTTGGATCGGCTGGAGGCCAGCATGGGGGACCCAGGGGCGTTCTCAACAGACACAGGCAGAGGAGCTCTAAGCAATGGGTCTCAACCCTCGCCTCACAGGATCGTCACTTGGAATGTGTATGTTTTTATTAAAAGATTAATTAAAAGTATTAGCCCTGAGCTTTACCTAAGGCCAATTTAATTAGAAAATTTGGGATATATTCGATAAGAAAAATGTGACCTCCTCCCTGGGGACAGACAACCGAAAAGTGGGTGAAGGGAGACATCGGGCAGGGCAAGATATGACAAAATACCAATTTATAAACTATCAAGTGCTCATGAGGGAGTGGGGAGGGGGGAGGGAGGGGAAAAATGAGGACCTAATGTCGGGGGTTTAAGTGGAGAGAAAATGTTTTGAGAATGATGTACAAATGCGCTTTATACAATTGATGTGTGTATGGATTGCGATAATAGTTGTATGAGCCCCTAATAAAATACTTATAAATAAATAAATTAGATGGTACAAGTATTTGTACATGTTTTTGTCAACTCAAAGATTTGACCACACCTGGTCTCTTCTTGGTTTTTCATTTAGTTCCCATGTTACATTATCTGTTTGGGTAAAGGATTCTCCCATACTTATTGACCCCCTTCCCCGCCAAGTGGGGGAAAAAAAAATCAACTTACCTGTAATACGTATTGTCGAGCTCTGTCCACATCTCCTGGCAAACTGAACCGTCTCATTATCAAAGCATTCATTTCTGGGAACTAATCATAAAGAACATTTATTGTTGTGAGGATCAAATGTTCTTCACCTGTAGTTTACTGGAATACTTGGGAAATTTGGATAACAATGGGGTGGGTGGGTGGGCGGAGAAACACAGTTGGTCAAATGTCTAGATGACATAGCAGTAAATGGGAGCAGTTAATCCTTTTTTGACTCCTGGAATACATATCATCCACCAACATTTTCACACAGGTTTCTAGGGACGCTCTTATCCCAGTTGTAGCACATGGTACCACCTGATGGGGACCTGTGTAACTGCATGAAACGGAGACCAGTGCCTCACCCCTCCCCAGTCATCCACTTGGAGCACATGTATCCCATATACCTGCATCAGAATCAGCATTTCCTCAGAATAAAAGCACCACCTTGATCTCGCCCTGCCTTTCCTGACTGAGGCACACGGCAGCACTCCAACACTCAAAGCTGACAATAACTTGGCCTTGAAGAGTTTGTTAAAGAAGCTGAGTGGGGCTGCGGGGGCACCGCGGCTGCTGTGCTTGGTGTGATGTTCCTCTGTCCTCCGAGTCAACTCCGAGATACAAAGACATCTCTAAAACCATAAAGTAGCTCAACATGAAACAATGAACTTTCAAAGCAAGAATTTGGAAGATCGAACAACTCCATTTTTATTCTAAAAGGGATGAGAAAACAGGGTTTTGTAACCTCGTATTTAGCATTTTTATGGAGCTAGTATGTGGCATTTTTGAAGTGCCAAATACTGTTCAAAACACCTAAAATCTCACAAAAATCCGCCCTTTCCACTGATGAGAAAACAGGAACAGAAAAGTTAAATGCTACAAACAACCAAACTCGGCCGTCAAGTTGATGCTGAGTCGGACACACTGTACCTACATGCAAGTCACGCGATAATGCGCACTCTTTACAAAATAGTAACGGTGCATCTGAGGTAGAACGGAAATTTCTGAGCAGGGCCTTGAACCAGAATGAACCGGTTCAATGTTCTATCAACTACAGAGGTCATCAGTGCACTAAAGGTGGCTTACCCAACTGAGCGTGGGTCACTGGCACCAGCTGTCGGCTAAGCCTGGACATTGGTGCAGGGGCAGTGCCGGTGCTGGGAGGGTGGCTACCGCTGACATTTAGGAAGAGAAAGAAACTGGAGAGAAAGGGAAAGTTTTTTTTAGGGATAATTGAAAACTAATAGTGTCATCAAAGAGGACACTCCATTTTCTTCTGGAGGCTTCCACGTCGTTCTGTTTGCCCTTAAATGGTTTTCCTCTTATGCGGTTGGGACAGACACGTGTGCGGGTGGACACGCATATTTATATATACAAATATATATACACACATTCAGGCAGGCACTCATCACTGTAACTTCTGCAGAAATTCCCTAAGGTTCCCTGACCCAACGGCCATAAAGAAACCCCCTTCAAAGTATTGCAGAGTGGTTGAAATTCCAGACGCTACACAGTTTGGGGGTTTTCTGTCCAGGGCCAGTGCAACCAGTTCCCACTGCAAGACAACCAACCATATCAAGTTTAAAAGAGACAAAAAAAGAATAGAAAACTTTTCCCAAGGTGGTCGGTCTGTCCCCATCCAACGAGACTCAAGAGTCAGGATCACAACTGAGAACTCAAAGAGCGTTTTACCTAATCTGCAAACAAAACTTCCCTGTGGAAATGATCACGCTGCCTTAGACCACCATTCCACCGGTAGGTTGACCACTATGAAGAAACCGGCTTTGGCAGCCTGTGCCAGGAGAAGCCCTCCTGAGTACCCGGGAAGCTCATCGGCGCATTCTCCGTGGCAAGAACCTCATTGGTCTCGGAGACTTGAAGTGGTCTTGCTGCCTGCATGCTACTTATGATTGCTGTGAACTCCGGCAGCGTTGAATGGTACGTCTTCACTTGTAAAACGGACAGGACATAATGAGACGCCCAACCAAGAGGAGCTGTGACATTAGAGATAATACGTGCAAGAACACTCTGTTAATCAGAAAGGCACTGTATGTTTCAGGAAAGGTTATTTTTGGATCTTGTTTTACCCCAAATTAATTGTAGCCTTGTGAATCTTTGTACAAACAAAATTTCTCATCAAGAACCCTCCTTTTTTAACAGTAAGAGGGAGCTTTTAAAATCGGTGACAAAATTCCATTATCTTTTAGTTTCATTTTCCCACAAAATTTTGAAACTACCTCGTAAAATGCATACTATGAATCTTGCTCTTTTAAGGGGGTGGGGGGTGGGGGTAGGGGCAGAGTTACTTCCCCAAACATAAATACAGAATTGACTAACTTCTGGCCCCCACGCCACAAGACAGAAAACCCAGCCTGCTCATGAAGCAGGTCATGTCCAGTGTCCAGTGCCACTTCCCGCTCAGTGCCATAAACGGTTCCCTTTCCAGAGTCTCTTAACCGGCCTTTCTAACTCCTCTCCCACCGCCGGTGGGCAGATGAGAAAAGCGCTGTCTGATGAGGGTGAGTGTGTTGTCTTGTGACACTGGGATTTCCCAGGGACAGCCAACAGTGGGTAGGGGCACTGTGGGCCTTTGCCGTGCTGCTGACAAAGGGTTCCTCCTCTACTCGCCGGGTTCAGTCTCTTACACAACAGACAACGCAGTGATTTCAGCACACTCGGGCCTCAGGATCATTTGTCCCTCATGTACGAATCCACGTCTGAGTCATGGATCGGTGTTTACAGTTGCAGGTTGGGAAATCAGGGACTAGCTTTTTCAAATCTCAGACACACTGTCTTTGCCTTTACATAAAGGCACACGAAGATTGTCTTTTTTTGTTCCTGGTGTGCAATGAGAAAAGTTTTCCTGTATTTGTAAAGCGTGATAGGGGAGTCTATTGGTGTTTGGCCCACCAGAAGTCTAGGGTTAATGAGTCAGCCCTACACAGTCAGTCTCCTAGGGTATGTTCTGCTTCTCGGCTCTGCTCCAGAGGCAAGATTGAGAACTGACGTTTCCAGGGAGCGCTCCAACATCCCCTTTGCGACCCACTCGAGTGCTGCCCCAGGTAACCTGCCTTTACAGCCGGCAGAAACTACTTACAAACAAGGTCTCTGCTTTCTCTCGCAGCAAATGGCCTGAGTAGTTTAACACACTCCGAGAGTTTATGACAAACGCTGTAGAGTCTGAGAAAGGAGAGGCCAAATCTCTGAAAGACCACAAGTTACTACACTCTGAGAACCAAGAGCTAGTTTTTCATTTGAAGCAAGGTGATGTGCATCTCTAAAGCCTTGCTAAACAAGGGGTTAGGTACCATGATTAAACACAAGAGGGAAATCTGTGCTGCCTTCCAAGTCCGTGTCTTTCAACTAACATCTGGCACCGCCAAGACCCACGTTGCGGCGGTCCTGAGCGAGCTGTGGAAACATCAGGTTGGCAAGTCTCTGCGGCCTCTCTGATCGTGGCCCTACTGGATTAGAGAGAACATGCAAGAAGATGGAGAGAAGATGCGCCAAGAGAGAAGCTCTACCGCTCTCGGGTGCACTGCACGCTGCCGACTTCCTGTCATTTTGAGCTGACAGCAAGAGTCTGGAAGGGGCGTTTCTGAGGCTCTCATACTCAGCTGCCGGATGCTTCCTGTGTCTTTGAAGGGGGCACCGAGGCACACTCAGAGGCCACTGCCTAAACTCAACACATGGAAGGCACTCACCCTGCCTGTGCCAAAAGTAGACGGGCATCATCATGCTACTTCGAAGGCACACGATTTACAAAGTACCTATCTCTGTGTAAGTCCCACAGGTAATCCTCACCGCAGCCCTGGGAGGAAGGAGGAAGCTTATTTCATAGATAAGGAAACAGGTGTAAGGGGGAAATGACTTCCCCCACATCTCCGACAGGCCTAGGCCTGGGGTCTCGTCTTCCCACCATGCTGGGCCTGGGAGACTTGCCTCCACAGGGCTTCCTGTCAGCATGCCAAAGGGAGTCTGTAAACCTACCTGCTGACAAGCAAATAAGACAGGGCCGGTGGCCAGCCCGAGCTTGAGATCAGCTGATGTCGGTTTGCCCATCTTGTAAGAACACGAGGTGAAGTCTAACACATCGTCTATAAGCTAGTAAGAGGAAAAACAGCAATGTGAAAAGTACCACCGCCCCAGCATCACTGTTACCCACTCCCCACCCGAGGACTTCAGTCTGGGAGACCCTGCTGGCCATTATGACAGGTCACCATGCCTATGAATTAGCATCCAGCACACCCCGCTCCCACAAAACAAACTCACTTCCATCGAGTCTAGTCTGACTCCAGGACCCTATGGACAGGAAACCCCAGTGGGATTCCGAGACTGTAACTGTACAGGAGGACCAAGCCTCGTCTTTCTCTGGGAGGTGCTGGTGGTTTCCGACTGCCGAGTCTGTGGTTAGCAGGCCCACGTGGACCCACTATGCCAGGGCTCATATGTAGATATGCATACTGACCTGGAAAGCGATGCCCACATTTTTTCCGTATTGATAGGCGATCTCATGTACCACCGGGTCAGGGCATCCTAGGACCGAGACCTGCAAGAGAGAGTGTTGATGTAAGCTGCCGGCAGGTGGAAACAAGGCTATACACCCCGGAGGGAGGGAAGGATTCACACCGTAGTAACGTAATCCCTTAAATAAGAAGTAGGGAGGCTAAATGATGTATAACCAGCCAGGAGATAATGCTATCAGAAAGAAGACAGAACATGCCCAAATAGTGTTTCAAAAAAATCATCCTTAAGATTGTTTTCTTAAACTCGCAGACTCCCTCACACCCAGACCTCATGCTGAAGATATAATCTGTCCTCTCATTACCAGGATTGTCCTACTGCGTGTGTGTGTGTGGGGGTGTAAATATATATTTACATAGTCCCTCACAAGAAGTAATATAACTGTATACAGTTATGTACCTCAGCTGGGGAGAAATAGGGTTTCTAAAACTCCCTGTTCAAAAAAAAACGAGCTGGCACCAGTCAACTGATTGCCTCCTCGCTGTGCTGCCAGGCATGCTAAGCAGCCCTGCCGTTTAGAGAAACCAGGGCAGGGCTCGAACCAGAGGGGGCAGGGGCGGTGCCAGGTCCTGCCGTGTTGTCTACAGAAGAGGAACTGTCGGTGAGGACACGCATGCAAGGAGAAAGCCAGCTGGCGCTCTCCGCTACCTCCGGAAGTCCTGGGTCCTGCATGACCCAGAACCCTGTTCCTGACCCTCCCGCCCCCCCCCTCCAGGTCCTCTGGCCAGGGACCAGATCTGACTCCGGCAGTCAACAGGGTAGAATAGGTCGGGGGCATTTAAGCCCCTAGAATTGGGCGATGCCCCTTATGATTACCATGTGACCCTGATTGGCTGGTCGCTCGTTCTGTGGTTCCGTTCCCTTACCTGTGAAATGAAGGGATCAATAGCCCCTCCTAGCATCGTCGTGAGACAGAGACGTGATGCCATCTAGAAGCCCTCGGCACAGTGCCTAACCTCTGAACCCAGTCTGTGTGCTACGATTAGTATTGTTATTAGCTTTTCTCCTCATCCATGAGCCAGAGCGTGGAGCCTGGCACGTCCCCCCACCTCTGCTAACAACGCCAGATCACGGCACTTCCTCAGCCAAAAGATGACTTCATGAAATCTCGAGTCTATGAAAAGTCCAGGATAAAAATGCACACCTCCTAAGAGATCAGGCAGTCACTTTTTAAACTGAAAAATAACTCACTCCATCACTTTGAGTGGGAGCCCTGGCAGCAGAGCAGGCTTGAACCCACCAGCATCTCCTTGGGAGGAAAACGGGGCTGCCTACTCCTGTGAAGATTTAGTCTCAGACACCCAGAGGGGCCGTTCTCCCCTGCCTCGTAGGGCCACTATACGTCAGTATCAACTAAACCGCAGAGTTTTGGGAGCTGCTGTCAACAGGAAAGACCTCAGCCCCAGCAGGCACTGACCCAGGGGCAGTAGCCAGCTGGCAACACCACATGGTGGACAATTTAGAAACTTTGAACGGAGCCAAGATAGCCATCAACTTGGCTGAAAGAACGCCAGGGGCCAAGATTTGGGCAGCCTAGAATAAGCCAAGTGCAGAACAGAAGGGTGTTCCTTTCTTAGGCAGGACAACTGACCACTGACACCGTTCTCTGGAGCCAGACGAATGCTGCTCTCTCGACACAAGCCCACACAGAAACGGAAACTTGCTTCCTTAGAAGTAAGTGACTGAAAAAAAAATTCTACACATCACACCTGGGAATTAAGCTTTAGACCCTTAACGCTATTTTGGCCAAACATTCAAATTTCCCATAAGTACTCATTTTGTGGATCACAATCAGAACTACTAACCTTAACTGGACACTTAGTACGTGCAAGGGACTACTCTGAGGGGTGTCACTGCTAACTCACTGGGAAGAGGGCACTGAGGGTACCACAGGCGTACACGGCTGGGAAATGTTGGATCCTGACATTCTGGTACCAGGGCGGCTCGCTTAACCACTTTGCTGTGCTGCTTCTAATGGCAACGAAATGGAAGAAGGTGAGAGAGTCAGGTGACATGCCAAGTGGCCATAAAGCTGCTCTGCCCATAATGTCCACCTCTTGTGGACATGCGCTCACCCAGCTATGAGCTACTTGTTAGTGGGCAGCCCTGTCTTCACGTACAGATTTCAGCTACTGCAGTGCCAAGACCATCCCAGAGGTCCCCACCCCCAGCCCAGGCAAAGACTGGAACCCTGGCAAGGAGACATACAAATAAAGAAACTCATTAAAACTCTTTCGACAAGGAAAAGCGGACGCAACACAACACAACACAACAAAGCACAATGGCGGCACACTGAATGCCAGGGGCTCCGTTCGTTCTCGGCCTCAGAGGAGGGCTGTTTCGTCCTGGAAGTGGACTGGGCACAGGGGAGGAGGGTCTGTAAAAGAAAGTGGCACCCGCCTACTTGAACGGGATATCACAGCCTCGCCATCCCGTGCCAACGGGCGTCTGTCTGGGGCTCTGCACACCTCTTGTGCCCTTTGCTGGAGCCGTGCCTCGGAACGACTAGGAGAGGCTGAGATTGTGGACGTAGGCAAAGAATTTGATGATTTTCAAACATTACTGGTCTTCAAAGGTGTGTTTGGGCTACCATGTATTAAGAGGTATAATCTCTTATGTGTCTGGTTACATGTATGCATGTCTCACACATAGTGTGTCTAAAGGTGACTTAAAAAGTTCATGGAAAAATGGAATTGAAAGATATGAACTGTTTGAAACCCCACTGCATATATAGTGGGGTGTAGTAAAAAAAGAAATTAGTGGATGCCACCATTATATAAAGTGATGTCAAAAACCAATGGAAAATCCTGAGAAAATATATGCAACTAATATCACACACAAAGGGCTAGTTTTCTTATCATACAAAGAATTCTTAAACATGGGGGGTGGGGGTGGGGGTGGGGGAGAGACCAAACATCTGACATTAAAATAGGAAAAAGACATGAAAAATTCATAACTGGAGTTATAAAAATGGTCCCAAACATGAAAACATGTCCAACACTCAACTATCAGTTTGGTTAAAAATGGAGACGACTATAGGGAAATACTAAATAACTGCTGGGGGGAGTGCACACTCGTCAGTACAGTCCTCCGGAGGGAAAACTGGTCATTGTCTAGGCCTTTCACACACACACACCCCCGCCACACACCGCGGTCGTCGCACTAGATTATGCGACACCATGCTGCTGTCTGCAGGGACAGCAGCAGACCCGTACAGTACAGTGCGATCATAAGACGAGTGCGTGACACTGCATTTGTTAAAGAACTGGGGGAGGGCCAGGGAGCACAACCCACCAAACTCTGAACCCAAACCAAAAACCAGAGCCAGAAAGAATGCAATGGTCCCAAGATGGAATAATCGGGGCCTCCCCGTATTTCACTCGGTCATGGAACCACACTGAAACAGGGAGGAAGGTGAGTTTTGAGCACAGCATTCTGACCGTATTCATGCTACCAACAAAAAGAACTATAAACAGGGTTTTATAAATACAAAGAGATTTTGTAAAACAATGAGTTAGCAATTTTGAAGACTCCCAAGCATATTCAAAAGGATCCCCTTAGCACAGTCGTCAAGTACTCCACAGCTCGCGGGAGGGCTACTGGCATCGGCACCTACTGGGGACTCCTGGCCGGAAGCTGTGGCAGTGTGCGGACAAGATCGGAGCCGTGGAAAACTATGACCCAGTTCTCATCTGAAGGAGCCAGAATGGCCCATTGGCAATATTTTGTTTTAAATGTGTATCCTAGATTTGAGCAAATAAAGGTATTCAGGAGAACAGGAGCCAAGTTTCTCCCTGCTGGGAAAGGGGGTTACAAACACTGACAGAGAATGCTAGAGTTAAACAAGACGCCTACGGTGTTAGGTTGGATTCGGGACTGTCAGGACGATCCCTCATGGTGGTGGCTGGTGGCTCGGCCGCTCCTCAGCAGGCAGACGAGGCTGTCTGCTCCTACAGAGGTTTCGTTTCAGAAAGCCGGTGCAGGGCCACTGGGGTCAGAGCAGACTCGACGGCACTGTGTGTGGTTTCCTTCTAGAAAGACAGACACATACTCACTGCCGTCGGGTCAGTGCCTACTCACAGCCAACACTCCTAGGGCAGGGGAGAACTTCCCCCATGGGCTTCCGACACTGTAACGCTTTGTAAGAGGAGAAAGCCCATCTCTGTCCCTTGAGGGAGCCTAGAAGCAATGACAAGAGTGCAGAGGTCGCTTTTTAAATACTTCTCTCCACTAAGAGGAACCCGAGCTCTCTAGAGACGTGTGCACCTGGACGCCGCATGCTAGAGTACGGAAATGCTGAGAACGACAGACTCCGAACCAAGCTCACTGCTGTCAAGCTGCTTCCAACAAACAGCAGCCCTACAGGGCAGATGGAATTGCCCCTGTGGATTTCTGAGATTGTAACCCTTGAAGGGAGTAGAGAACCCCTTCTTTCTCCCACGAACTGCTGACCTGGCAGTTAGCAGCCCAAGGTGTAAGCATCATGCCATGAGGTTAAAAGAATGCTTTGGATGTTTTAGATGGAGAAGCCAGGTTCAAGGGCCCTTTCCAATGGCCAAGGACAGGAAAACTGAACATTAAGTGATAACAAATGATTATCACCCAATAAGAATCCAATCGTCCACACGGGTTAGAACATCATGACAAGAGCACCAACTCTATTGTAGAAGAAATGCCAGAATTAGAAAAACATTGCCATTTGTCAAACCACCAGTAATAATTGGTTAAAGAAAGAAACATAAATGGATGATAAACCCACTGGATGAGAATTTAATGAGACACTGGGTATTTATTTAATCTCAGGATACCTCACCCCAAAACTCTACTTTTAAAGGGGAAATCAGCAACTTTAAGGTGGAGAGTCCTGGCTGGCTTCTCACAGGACACAACCAGTCATGGGATAAACAGTCACAACGTGCTGAACAGAGAAGACAACGTCACTTCTGTTCTCGCCCCGAACCCCACCGCCTGACTCAAATCTGAGAACTACTGGATAAGCCCAGCAGCAGACCCACCAGCAGACCTGGCCTGTGGCCTCTTCAAAGAGAAAGAACTGAGCAGCACGTTCAGATGAAGAGAGACTGACAGCTCCTGACAACTGAGCCCCAGTGGGATCCTGAATTGGATGCTGGGCTGCCAATGTTTATCTCCTTTTGGTCCAACAGACAGTAAGGGGGCAACTGGCAATTCTGACAAGGGTCATCGATGAAAGCATTGTAACAGCAAGTACAACACCAGAAGTGTGCTCTGCTAAGATGACCATGAAGCAATATTCGGGCCATGATCCTCTTCAGTGAAGCGGTGGCGCCATACAGCTTTGAGAATTAAATAGCAGCAAGTCAGCTAGGACCACATTCAGCCCCAGAGAGAACAGAGACGCACAAAACAACAAGAGACAGCCAACTGAAGGAGCACCACACCCGGCTCTGGATGGAGTTCCCAGCCCTGTCACTGTCGGAACTGCAACCGGCAGGCCACTGCCTTGGATCCTGTCCCATCAGATTTGCTGGGGAAGCTACAACATGTATTTTCTGGGACTATGATTAGACACACACTCAATCATCGTTTGATACTAAATTTTATCTTAATAGCAACCAGAGTCACAAAATAGCTCCCTTAGGCGGCAGCCCTTTTAGATTGTAACATGATCGTCTCCACTACAAAAACCATGGGTGCTCCGAGACACGAGCTCGTTTTACATGTTGGGGGGAAAGCTGAGGATGGGGACAAACCCACTGAAGGCCACGGAACTGTCCATGTACCGGGAAGAGGGTGGAGATGGCAAACGTTTTGTTACCTATATATTTACTACATTAAAAATAGACAAGCCATGGGTGGTTAGAAAAGGAGGGGAGGTGTTAGAATCGAGAGTAACCTAACGCCTTACTAGAAACAACAGGATGAAATGTTAGCCACTAAGCGTCCTGCACATCCTCCTCACATCTTAGACTCCCTTTAGTTCTTCTACAATAATGCTGGTGTTTTACTTTTCTTCATCACTTTTAAAAAATAAATCATTTTATTGGGGACTCTTACAGCTCTTATAACAATCCATACATCCATTGTACCAAGCACATTTGTACGTATGTTGCCATCCTCATTTCCAAAACATTTTCTTTCTACTTGAGCCCTTGGTATCAGCTCCTCTTCTTTCCCTCCCTCCCTTCCTCCCTCCCCCTCTATCACACTTCTTTTTAGGGTCGGCTTTCTGTGCTTTCGGACCCCACAAGTCTTGGCATTTTAAATACCAAGAACACATATAAAACGTGAATTCTGAACACATCTACCACCCCTGGAATATTTCCACCCAGAGGGCTTGTAAATGGAGAAGTGTACTGTGAGAGCTCGTGCCCTCATTTTGCTTTAGGGGAGCTTAGGGGTTAAACCAGCCCCCTGTAGGCGGGGCACGCCTCCTCGTGGACAGCATGAAACGGTGCATTCTTAGTAAGGGCTGAGCCATGCTTTTCTTGCTCCTATGTGAAGAATGAGGTGTTCTTCCCAAAAGGGAATCTCTGTCATCTTAGGCAAAGGTGGCGTCTTGATGGCTCAGGCACAGGGTGGGCTCTTCCAGGAGCGGTCACTGCGGGTCCCATCGTCCGGGAGAGCTGTGGGGCGTCCACCCTGTGGGCAATACTTTCCACTCCAACAACCCCACTACTTGCTCCGGTTTCTAACCTACAGGGGGACATCTGGAAAATCACTACGCTTCACGTCATCCACTAGTCTTGAGGGTGACAGTTTGGTTTCCACGGAGTTTTTGGCCATCAAAACGTATCATGATCAATAAGGAAGCACTCACTCATGTAGCAGGCTTACCACGCCCATTTTAAATACTGTAGGTTATTCTTTTATTTAGGATTGCGGTGTCTATCATAGTTCCATTTTAAAAAAAACCAGCCATGCTAACTTAGAAATAAAAAAAATTAGTCTTTTCAATAAATAAACTTGGCTGCAACAGTTGTCAGCAAATTCGACATAATTCACAGGCCTTAGGGCAGTGGTTCTCAAACTTCCTGATGCTGCGACTCTTTAAGACAGTTCCTCATGTTGTGGTGACCCCCAACCATAAAATTATTTTCGTTGTTACTTCACTCCTGTGATTTTTCTACTGTTATGAATCAGGCGACCCCTGTGAAAGGGTCGCTCGACCCTGAAAGGGGTCACACCCCACAGGTTGAGGACCACTGGGGTTTCAACGGGGTCTTTTTATAGGGAGAAATGTTTTCCTCATTTTTTTCTGGCTCACCACTACATACACAGGGTCAAAAATTATTGCTACACAATCATAGAAACTTTTATTAAAATTTTAAAAATCCAATTGTGAAGCTAATGTTTTTAAAAAAATTTTTTTTGGGAAGCTAATGTTTTTTGATATACCTAGCCTCTGTCTGAAAGCGGTGTTTCCATCTCCGTTACCGTGCCATGAAAAATGTTGAGCCCTTGGGTTTCTAGCACATCAGAACAGCAGTTTTGGTCTCCTTGAGGGGCTCAGATTGTGTTCCTTTTCCGTGTTTTTTGAGTTTGGGGTAGAAAGAGAAGTTTGGAGGGGCAGGATCCAGGCTGCAGGGTAGGTGGGTTCCCATCGAGCAGCGAGCAACTACACTGTCTGAATGGATAACAATTCCTCAGACAACTTCCTAATACGCTCCTGTGACTGTTCTGTGTCCTTTGAGAAAAAAACCCTATTGAGCTCACCCCTGCATTTCACTGGCCCGGCAGATCCCCAGAGCACGCTGTTCTGTAGACCTGGTTGTTCAAAGGCCCTGTAATCCGAGCAAGACCAGGGTCTTACCCAGTGAGTCTCACTGCAGCCACGGCCAGCTCACGGAGCCCTGTGTCCAGATGTCCTGCTCTGGCTAACCTCCGGCATGCAAGGACTGGAGCCCCAGGAGCTGTACTGTATGACTTAGGCCTAGTACTATTACTCGACACTGCGGAAAGACTAAGGAACACCTCCCCCCAAAAAAACCCCCACCCCCAATGGTTCACAATTTACACTCCGACAAAAAATGGTTTATATTTTCCATGAAAGTCTTCCAGGAATCTACTACTCATAAGAAAATATGCTCAACTCAAGCACGTGACATAGAAGGTATAGGTACTTTCTTCTGGGTAATATTAAACCAAACCAAATCAACCAACCCAACCCCACCCGTTACTGTTGGCATTGATCTGACTCACGGAGACTACAGGACGGAGTAGAACTGCCCTGTGGGGTCGCCAAGGCTGTGTCTTCATAGAAGTCAATCGCCACAGCTCTCTTCCAGGAAGCAGAGGGCGGGCGCAAATCCCACTGCACCACCAGGCCTCTTTCTCGGGTAAATTTGAAACACACAAAAAATATATCTATTTTACATTACATTTCTGGTAGTTCTGCTTGGGCCAGGGATATCTACTTTGCTAGTATAGAAATGACTATCACTTTTCCTTAATAAGTTGCAATTTTCCTTGAGCTCATTCCTGATTTGTTGTTGTTGTTGTTTATTCCTGATTTTTTAATAAGTGTTCCCACTTTCTTTTTATTTGTACACAAAATAACAGTGCATCTTACAAGCGATGGCTTCTTGGGATGTAGGAAGTGAGATGCTTTCCCTCTGGCTCTCAGCCTGTAGTTTGCCAGGACAGAAGCAGAAGCAATCCAAGTGAGGGGCGGGTTCTGGTATCAAAGTCTAGGAATCCTTTCAACTCCTACAACATGGTAGGCAGCAACTCCCAGCTGCTCCCTCCGCCATATCTTAACCTTGAATCTTCTGTGTCCCCAGCTTACCAATACAGTACGTGTTTGATGATGGATTTCTGCCCACCCCACCCAACAAGAACTTGCCAGCGATCTCGGATTTACTCCATTCTCATTTTGGGGGTGGTGGGGGGTGGTGGTGTGTGTGTGGAGTAGGTAGGTCTACCTCCAGATTTCCACTGAGAAATCTACCATAGTTAAGAATGGAACTTCATAACTTTAAAAGCTCAGAAAGAGTGTGATTTTTGACAATACTCAAATTACTTTGGGTAATTTGTTCAAAACATTACTGGCGAACCTTGGAAAGTGGATTGGGGAATATGCGATAAAGTTTATTTTGATTTAGTTCTTGGAGTAACGCTTCCAAGTTCATGTTTGCTTACTAAGACGGCCAGCAAAGTGGGAAACAGGCAGAAGTTGAGTATTGTTTGGGGAAGTGCATTCTCTCCTCTTTGATCTCTGAGGATTTAAGACACTTCAGGGTCTCCAATGACCTTTTCCAAGGAGAACTAGCTCCCAGACAGAGCCATGAGGGTGGTTAACGTGAACAGACAGAACGTACATACTGCTTTACAACTGTTGGCGATCAGACTTGCAGTCTTCTTGAAGGTCTTTTCAAGGTAGTGTGCAAATCTTTCATTCTCGTTTTCTTTTGACCCTAATTGAAGAAATTCACCTGCAAAGAAGAGGTCAAGAGATGAGAGTTGCCTGCTTACTAAACAGAGAGCTGAACTGAGTAAGAACAGCCAGAATCAACTTACCACGCACCAAATCTTCAATGACCTGGGTTAAAATGGATATAACTGTTGTATTCCCGATGCGAGCCAAAGCCATAGACGCTGCAGAAAGAATTAAATCTCCAGCAAGAACAGCCTAGAGAAGGAAGAAGAAGAAAGAACCTTCAGAGAAGAGTAACTTGGGTTATGGAGTCAAAGACTGAAGCCAGCTGATCTGAAGAGAAAAGAATGGGAGGGAGATTATGTTTTCCTTTCTTATTCTCAGTGGGGGGATATAATAATCAGTTGCCGATTAGAAATGACGTTGAGCAGGCTGGGCGTTCAGAGAGTCTACAGTCTGCCCTCCAAGGCACAGCCCAAGGAACAAATGCCCAGAAGGGAAAGGCCCAACCGCCGACCCACTGCAGCTGCCTCCCTGCAGTGAGCACTGCAGCGCCATTCGCCTCTTCCCACGTCCTGCTTCCCCTGCCTGCGGGTCCTCCCCTTCCTCCCCTCGCAGATCACGTGCACAGTGAGCTCAGCAGTGGTCTCTGGGAAGTCTAATCTGTGCTGTGCGAGCACAACAGCCGGTGCACACGGCATGTTTCATCCCCATCTGCCAGGTCCTCATTTCAAACTCCTGCAGGAGCGCAGTGAATAGCAAAACAGACCAGGAGTGATTTCACCGAGCACTTTGCACACAGAACCATATACTTTTCCAATGGAAACTAAGCCACAATCCTGGCTCCAAGGTCACTGCTCTTTGCACCGCCCCCTCTTTCTTTGATAAAATCTCTTCTTCCACAAGATGCTATTTTCCTAATCTTCTGTGGATTGTGAGATGTGTAACATCATATGAGCAACAAATTACAAATTACACATAATTGAATTACAGGAGGCAATCAAGCACACTCAAACATACACAGTAATTAGCATAAAGATATGCAAACATGTTGTTTTACTATACTAGTTCACAGAAATTTGAATTCAGAAAAAAAATTTCAGCATAAGCACAATGAAAGCTTCTATTGAGCCAGTCATCTAGTAATTAAAATTAGTGATGCTTAATATGGCTACTATTAAATCACCATTTTATAATCTGCTTATATATCAGATACATCTCCCTATATAAAGTTTACAGCTGTAAATTCATTTAAAATTTCTATGTTCATCCATCCATCCATCTACCTACCCACCCTTTAAATTATTACCAGCTCAGAGCTTAAGGCCCTTAAGTTGGTCCACTTTCCTGACCCTGCATATCCTAGAGACGTGTGAAACGGAGCAACCAGACAGTGGATGAGAGGACTGAGGAGTTAGGAGGAGGAAGGGCTGGGAGACCTCGATCAGTTAGCGATACCAATCGGTCACGGAGGAGAAACGGTGTGGATGGAATGATGCAGCTGTAACAGCAGCTACACAGGCTAAGCGCTCAGTGAGAGAAAGGTGTGGGTGGCCGTTACATCATGAAGATGACAGCCATGGAGACCCTACGGAGCAGGTCTACCCTGTGCACTCACAGGGAGGCTGTGAGTTCTCCTGACACAGAGGCTATGAGTTGGAACTGATTTGACCACAGCAGCATTTTTATTTTGAATGCTAGTCTTGCTTCAGTGTCAGAAACGGGAGGAGACTGGCAAGAGTCTCTGATAGTGGAATGCAGGTGATGCATGGCACTGCAGGGCAGTGGCTTATTTAATGGGGGCTCTTCTAGCTCTGTGCCTGTGACTCCCACCAAATGAAATGACCTGATCCCGCATGGGTCTGGGAAGGGGAGGGGAAGACACTGAGAGGGTGCACCTGTGTGAGCAGGCGTCATCGTGCTGCCGACCTGCTGAGAAGGAAGGGGTAAAACCTCACTGCCAGCAAGAGCCGGCCAGAACATGAGCAAAAGCCTCTTTATCTACATTTTGGAGGAAAAGGCTTACCAGTGAACTTGTAGGTTCCAATTACATCAGGCTGTTTACATCGAAGCAACATCACCAAGTGAAGCTAACATGTCTGTGTTTGGTCAGGGGAAGTAAAAATCAGGAAGGAAGAGGGTACATTAAGGTGTGAAAGGGGGACTGCAAGGAGCGGGAAAACTTATTCACACGAACCTTTGTTTGCTTTTCAACTGGGCCAGACACAACTGAGAGG